TATAATTACAATATATAATAGTATTCTATTTACCAGAAGCTTTATTATTAATTTTTCTAATTTTCTAATAATAATAATTATTATTATTATTCTATCATTATATATAATAGCTTCTCTTGATAGAACTTGATAGAAAATCAGCATTTTGTACACCTTTTTATTAAAATATTACATAGTTCCTAAAAGATGGCCTTTGTCTAATTGTTTGGATTTGACTAAATCTCTAGCTGAAACACCCGCTCATGGTTTCTTTGCCATGCCTTGAGGAAAGATTCAGTTCTTTAAAGACACAAAGTTCTCAATAGCACACTGACAAGAGGATTCGGGTTGTTGGGCCTTACAAATATCAACCACCATCAACCTCAGTGTGAACCAGAAACCTGTTCTCCTCTGCAGGCGGTAGTAATTATTTTCTGAATGAAGGCAGGTATTGGAATGTTGACGCACCCTGTTTCTGGCTTTGTGTTAAAACCAGAGGCTTTGAATGTTTCTTTTTTTTAATCTGTCCTTTTCTTTTCTTCACTGTTACCTGAGGTCTTAACTCCCATATCTGTAACCATATAACTACTGCTAAACCCCACCCTTTGTGTCACCACTTCTCTGTCTCTCTAACTTTAATATATGGCTGTTCACTCACTCACAGATGTTGAAACCGTCCCCTGTCAATGGCCAGTATTTCCCTTCTGCTCGTCTTCATGACTCTGCACCATGATGTCAGAATGGGCCTGGAGGGTGTGGTGAGGCCTAGTAGTTAAAGCTTCTCACACAAAGGAAGCTGTCACTACCATACCGCCCCATGAATGCCGTCCCTCCTCACTGATCGCTTCTAATCCCTGCAGCTATACTGATAATTAGCCCGGCCTGTCATCCAGCTTGGCACAGCCTCCTCTCTTTGAACACTTCCAGCACAGGTAATGCAGCAGAGGAAGGCTGATTCAGTGTGGAGGTGTAGAGGACACACACTTAACTTTTTTGTCTTGTGTGGCCCCACAAAGATAAGCTCCCCTTCAGTGGCACCCTGTAAATCTCACACACATAACCGCTAGTGAAACACACAGCCATTTGTAGAAACTTGAAGAGCATTCATTGGAAAACCGTTGAGGCAGGCAGTAACAAAAACAACTTGATAAAGAGCTAAGATTAAATCACAGAAGTGTGTGGAAGTGTTTTTTTTAATTTTTTTTATTTAAAGATTATTGCTTTGTATTAAGTTCAGTACGTGTTTACATTTCATTGTGGTATGGGAGTTATAATATCTGTATTTTTTTGTGTGACGAGGAAAGAAAGAAAGAGTGTTTTTTTTATTTTATATATATATATATATATAAACTCATGTAAAATAATAATCTAAATATTTAACTTTAATTATTTTAGACTTTTGTGCTTGGTGCTTTTATAACATTACTGTAAATTATACACTTGCTTAATTATGATACTTGCTTAATTTTTTGGGAGACTAAATGGCATTTGTACTTTTTATTTACTTGTTTTTTTTTACACCAGACGGCCATTTAAAATCAACTAAGGCAGATCCTGATTAAAAATATGGAAAACTTGAAAAAATCACTTTCCCTTATACATTAATATACAAGATGCAGTACTTATTAAAAAAATCAAAAATATTGATGGTGATTTATTGTTGAAAAAAAAATGTCCATGGACATGTTATGTTGTCAACATGTGTGTCTCAGTCTCTTGTTGAGATTGACTGTTTCATGATCGTTGCACTATGTTTAACATATCCATTTATGCAATTAACATATAAACCATATAAAAAAAGATTTTCCTTAAGCCTTTTGTATCTTTACATTTTCAGAGACCAGAAACAATTTTTCCTTGGCTAAAAATCTGCACACATTTATTGGTCACTTGTCATTTAACATTGAACACATTTTATCCAAAGCGATTTACAGTTCAAAGCATCAACCTTTCCAGTCAGTTACATCACCTTCACTGCTGCAGTTTGCAAGTGCTGTGTATTCAGGATTAGTTGCTAATCAGGATAGTCCAATTTACAGAAAGTCATAAGTATTGTCATGGAGATGCCAGGGACTGAACCAGGACCTGCAATTTGCAAGGCATGTGCGTTATACGACCACCGAGCTACATCCTCTTATTAGCATGATTCATATTCCCGAACAAACTCAAACCTGGAAATTTCAGGAAACTCCAACTTTAAAGCCCGTACTAAATCCGAGCTGCGCTTTCATCAGCTTTTGCACAGAGGAAGTGTCCGTCCCAGAGGGTCCTCGCTGCAAACATAATCTCTCCCGCACCCCCATCAACGCCAAACAGAAAGGGAACAAATTCACTGTCTCATCCTCATTCTTTCTGTCGTGCCAAGAAGCTGTATACAGTACACTGCAGGTCAAAGCCTTAATTGAAAAATAATTATAGGCACTTAATCATGGGAGGCGGTGGGCTAATTGAAGTAAAAACAAGGCAGTGAGTGGAGGCCCTCCGAATCGTAGCAGAAAGAGCATATTGTGTGAGCTCCCGTCTTTAATAAAGCATCGTCTTCAATCCCCCATTGTCTCCCAGATTAAATTGGAGAGGGCTATTAGCAGAGTTAATTGGCTCTCTAATTTAGATCTGGCCAGTCTCAATGCATAACGGATGTGAGTCGCAGTGGCCCATGATGTGCTCGCTTTGTCACACCATATTGCCAGACCTGATTGGTTAATTGCTCTGGAATCTGCAAAGTTTGTGCCCATCCTTCAATTGCACGGGACCTCGGCCTTTCTGGAGGAATCTCCACCCTCAACTCACTTCTCAAGTCATTCTTCATTCCTGCGTGATTGAAAGCAGCTTCAGACCGTACTCATGACTGTGCTTGCAAGTTATTTTGACCATACAATGTAGCGGCATGGTGTTGCTGATCTCTAAAGTGAGTTTATGTTTCCTGGTAAGAATGAAAAGCCACGCATCTTAAATAAATTCACCCTGTGACCTCACTATCCGCGAGGCTCTGACCCGGGGGTCAACACATTAAGTTTGGCAATCGGTAATAGAGAAAAGGTCTTTATTTTCATCCAGCATCCCGAAGCCTTTTTGGAGAACTCAAGCCTGCCTTATCCAGCACCGATGGGACCACATCAGTTTCTAGCATCTGTGTTTCCTCTGTGTTAGAACAAAAAAACAATTTCAATGTCACTTTAATTCGCCGTTTCCCGGTCTTTTCACGAGAGCCATACTGGACGTTGTATCGTCTGCTTGGTGTTGCGTATTAGTGGATGCTTCACATTGAAGCCAGGGGCCCCCGGGCGTTCATCTTGGAGGATTTGAAATCCTCTGTTTGTCAGCTGAAAGCGGCAGCGCTGGCATTATGGAGCTTTGGGATGGACAGAAGATAAAGAACGAGGACATAGACGATTGTGAGGAACTATGGATTGACTGTTTCAACACTTATTTCAAGTGTGAAATGTGGGTAAAAATCCTAATTGTCCTCTTCTTGACTGGCCCACATTCAGTGCGAAATCCTCAAGGCCTGTTGAGAAGTACAAACAAACTGTTTCCGCTTGGGGCTTCGGAGAATGAAAAGAGAATGAAAAGAAACACTCTTATCAAGTGCTCTGCAAATTTGTTTCCTGCTGCGAAACAAGCGGCTTATTCTGTACACATTGCGCCCTCTAGTGACAGCTGAGCTGTAATAGCAATTAGGCATCAATCTAGTGGTTAGTGAGGAAGAGTTACAGAGGAAGTAAGCCAGGTAACCATGGGTAAAAGGCTGTAAATGGCACCCTATTTGTCACCATTTTCCCTGGAGAGTCTTTCATCTTGGCCAACACTGCACGGCTCAGGTTCTATTCTCGGAGACTTCGTTAATGGAGGGCCCACAATGATTGCAGCTGCTCAGGCTATCAGAGCTCAGAGGCACAGACAGATTTTAAAGGCCAGAAACCTTTATGTCTCTTTATGAGGATGCAAGCCATTCTAGGTCACGGTGTAAAATAGGACAAACAATCGCCAGGCCGCTGCTGAAAGAGTGGTAGGAAGGCAGGTTGTGCGTTGCTGGGGGAGAAACGGAGAGGGGTGTGATTCAACATTTAATCTCATTCTGAGATGAATGTGTGCTGATAAGAATGGCAAGAAACCCAACTCTGTTGACCGAGAGATAAGAACATGCAGCCAGGCTATTGTGGGTAGCCTGCATGGTCGCTTTCTCTTTTTTTTTTTTGTCAGAACTTACAGTCACCTCACTTGTTGCAAACTACTGTGTTCTAAATTTTCACACATGCACTGAAAAAAAAAACTGAAACAAAAATGGTGTAGGACTTAGAATTCGTAAATTTCACAAGCAATTACAGAAATGGCAATTAGCGTGAAAATTTAAAGTAGAAAAACATATATTTTTTTTTTTACTCCAGTAATCTTTTATTTACAACTTGGAAAAAAAATCTTTTTTTTATTTACTGTATGACAAACATTATTTTAAAATATTTTCTCATTAGCTACTGTTCGAATATTTTTTAATTACTTCTACCACAGCTTTAAGCATACTTATAATCATAATCATGCCTTGCTTTAAAAAATGAAATCTGTAAAGGTTACTACTAACTATACAATTTTAATAATCGTTCAGCTTCTATGAGAACAGGGAAGTACACGCCAAAGCTATGATGATAATGGCACTGATATTGTTTCAGCTGGTAACAATGCTTGATGGCATTATTATCAGCTGAAATGAGCATGGGCTGATTCTGCACTCATGAAAATAAATTGTAGTTTAAATTTACAACTGTTTAATGTGAAAAAAGATGATAAAGCCCTGCCCATGTTCAGGCACAGAAAAATAAAAGTACAAAGTACTTAGTGTAAGTGCAAAGTCACAATTCCGTTCACATTTCTAGCACATTTAACTACTGTATATTTATTGCCCCAAATTTCTCACGTTTATGACTGATTTATAGTCTTCAATATCAGAATCAGAATTATTTCAAATATCAATTATATTCTAAATATCCCAAACTTTCTTTTTTTTTTTTTTAAAACCACTGATTACTTAAAAAAAAAAAACAGAGCAAAAACTCACAGCTCATTATAAAGTAGTAATGCTTATACTACAGCACACAAACAAGTAATGGCTGGTTTTTTTTGGCTACAATTTTTGGGTTTACTTATTTCTTAAAGCATACAAAAGCCCTTTGATAATGATTCTTTTGTAATTGCACTTGTAAATTCTTTAGGATTCCTTGAGAATTTGGGTTTGGAGTGAATACATGCATTTATTTGACACAGTCACATCACAATTCACCACGCTCCTGGTCTACTGGCCGCAGAGCTCCATGCACTGGTCCCTGAGGTCCCGCCGACCTCTGAACTTTTGTGTACTCTTGCATGGTTGGCTGTGAGCTCTTCTATGGAGGACAGCTCCAAATCACTCTCCTCATCAGACAGCTAGAAGACAGGTATAATACAAAGCTTTTCAGTCCAATACTAAAGACAATGTTCAAAAACAAATGATATTTCTGCTGCAAGATTTTAACAGCAATGGGAATTACTTGAGAATATATGAGATATGTGAGAATGTGTTTTTTTTTTACCGCTCGCTGTTTTACAATGACAGGGCGAGGGGAGGAGCTGGAGGGTGGCAGAACTCTAGTCCCGCCCACAGGCTTTTTGACTGGTGTGCTTAGCTGTCTTTCCAAACTTCTTGTCAGTGTTTGGACAACAGAACCTGCAATCAAAAAACATTCATGTTAACTGACTAATAATGTAGGACTAAACTATTTTTAAAATTAAAATGTCTACATCCCACAGGAAGTTGGAAGTTCTATAGCTGGCATTTCAAAAAGATCTGTCTATTCTGTTTTTTATTCTGTGCTGCAGGGATGATGTACTTTTGTAGGCCAAAACCCAGAAACAATTTAGCATTCTAGAATAGTTAGTTTTTTTTTTTTGTTTTTTTTTTTAAAGGGGTCATATGATGCTGCTAAAAAGAACATTATGTTGTGTATTTGGTGTAATGAAATGTGTTTATTACTACAGCGAGAATAAAAGTTACGCCTTCTTTCTTTGCGTGAACATTTGGGCGGTGTTATGCAAATCTTCCCACATAGTGATGTAGGTATGTGGGGGCGTGTTAGAACGAGCCGTTTTAGGTAGGCGTGGCTGACTTTTAACTTTCATAAAGAATATATCTTTGGATTTGAGACTTTAGTCTTTGCAACTTTACAGATTTTCTTTATGCACCAAAAGCTTGTAACACTCCAAAGAGAAAGGAAAAATTTAAATCGCATCATATGACCCCTTTAAATAAAGACTGAAAGAGTTGTCAAAAGAGTTGTTTAAGTCATGCGGGCATAGTTTGTTTATTGTCTAGGTTTAGCTTTTTACTTCTGACTATTGTATTGTATTGTTCAAAATTCATAAAAGTTGTGTTCATTTGTGAAGATTATCACGATGAACAAATCTTGTAAGAATCATAAACTTTTGTTGGTCACAAAGCTTATTTTCTGCAATAATCCAAATAATTCATTGGGTTTTATGTATAGGGAACCAGGGTGATGCTAACTTCTGGGTTCGCCTCCAAAAATATGTCCTCACTGCTGCACTCTATTTTGGCTAAATGATATAGATAACAGAAAGCTGTGAACAGATATATAATTTATATATCTGAAATATATTCAGTATTCAGACTACTTCCAAATGGAGGAATTAAAATAAATAAACATATAGGACTTTGGCATTTGCTCACCATGTGAATTGGGACTTTTGTGGAGTTTGGGTGTGTCAGAAGCCTCTGACAGTTCACTGTCTGTCCAATCAGGCTCAGCTGTTGGGTTCAGAAGTGATCCTGATTGGACAAGGCGCACAGCGGGGGAAGGCTTGCCCCGTGAGCTGGTGATATAGGCACTGTCCTCGACTGACTCATCCTCATCTGAACTGAAAGGTGGTGTGCTGACGAGAAAAATATACTCATTAAACACATACTGATAAGCCTGAGGTAATATTAAGTACAGTTAAAAGCAGCTTGACCTCTCAACTTTCTCTTTCATGTTTTAATTTTCATATGTCTCTGAATAGTCTGAACATTAACCCATTTTAAAAGAAAGTATACCCGTTCTTTTTTTGCTGTGTTTTTGGAGTCTGATTCTGAGGTGCATTGGAGCGTGGGGTGGGTGTTGGAACAAGTGCTTGTGGCTGCTGGCTTTTGGCCCTCCAAGTGGACGACTTTGAGCCCTCCCTGGATCGGAGACTTTTTTCCTTCACTGGGCTTGAATTTTTCTTTCCCCCTGAAACAAACATATAAGAATGACTGATCTTGGTTCAGAAGAGAGGCAACCAAATGGAAATTACTTGAAAGCAGATTAGTTAGATGTATGAGTATGGGTAGTGTGGTGGCATGATAAATAACACATTTGCTTACTCTGTTTTAAAGTGCTGGGTGTTAATTTCCCCTGGCCCTTCTGTAGGCTTTTCACTCGCCTGATGACCTCACGTGCCAGGTTGTCTCTTTGGATATGAAGGTCTGGCTGCTGTCTGTATCTCTGCAGCCGCTGACCAGTCAACAGAGCACTCAGACTCTTAAAAGTTTGCTTAGAGATACCCTTGGTACCCTGCCAAAACATCATCCCTTCAACCACTGGCACTGAGCAATGCTGCTGAATGACATTTGTATGCACCCACAGTCCAAAATTATCTTTTTGCCACACCTACTAATAGTGGAAGAATTAAGGAGATTTACTGACCATAAATATTTTTTACTAGTCATTCTCATGCAACAATGGTCTTATAATACATACATATACATATATATATATATATATTTATATTTATAAGACCATTGTTGCATGAGTCGCAATAGGTGTGTTACTTAGTTTAGTAGATGGTTTGTATGTAAGTGATCAGACAATTATTCCTACAGTTTAACTTAAATCATGCTACGTTTCCTAAAAAAAAGACACAGTTTAACAGTCTAAACTGTTTAATTTAGACTTTTACTCCCTTAAATGTTAATATTGATGGCTTTTTGTGTCAAGGTATACCTTCCGCAGTCCCATATTCTCCAGTTTTTTCTCCAGTGATTCTTCTAAAATGGGTCTAGACTCTTTCATCAGCTCTGACTTTCCTTTGTGTGACTTTAGAACCTTCCACTGGGGTTCATCTGAATCCTCCATGCCTGGAGGTGCATGCACAATTTTGTTTTAATAATGTATATCATGGCATGATTGATGTATGTATGTACTGTGGTTATAAACTGCTGAACCACATACTCTCTTCATCTTCCTCCTCTGGTTCCTCAGGAGAATCTTGGGCTTTTTGCAAAACCACTGGAGCTACCAAATAAGAGACAAAAATGGGTCAAACCACATTAAATTTGATTCAAAGCAACACTATTTATGTAATCAAGCAATGAGTAAGTCCATAAATGACAGCTATAATTCATTACCTGAGACTGACATGACTGACAGCTTTTTAATCTGATAAAGCATCATTTAGAAAGATGATTAGTGTTCAAGAATCAAGACATCAGCAGATCATTTTACAGTGACTACAATCACGTTAATCTAATTATGAGTTTATGTACAAGTTAAAGGTGAAGTGTGCCATTTTTAAAACACTTTACAAATAATATCACAGCTTAATAAGAAGAGACAATAGGTTGACTTCTCTAAAGAGTGTAAACACTGGTGCTTCTTTTCACAGGATGGCTTGCAATAAACGTCTTAGCATGTAACTGACTTGGTTATCCGAACAAAGTAGATGGGATGTGAGGCGAAGGGCTAGTAGGACTGTTTGGGGAAACCTCTGCAATCTATAAACATTCTTTTTGCAATTCTGTTTGGTGCCTCTAGTGGCACTTCGCTATTAAGGTAACATTTTCTGACAAGAGCATGGTATTATAGCTGACTTTCATCCACTCTTTGCAATTGTGAAGTAAATATCCAACCTTCTCCTCCTGAGATTTGATGAGTCTGTCCTTCTGGCTCAGCTGAGAAGAGAGAGAGACAACCTGCTGCTGAAGTTTCTGCAGACTGGAGCCAGAGTTCTTCTCCACAGACAAGGCCTTCACAAGCCTGGCATTCTCACCCTTAAGCTGTAACACACACATACAAATCACAAACTTGATGAGAGTATTCCAACATGTTGACTAGTATGGGTGTGCAGTGGAGCCAATATCTGTATCTGTAGCAATATTAAAATTGTCTGTATCTCGCCTCCAATTTCTCCTGTCGGTGTCTGTTCTGTGCTTCCTGAAATTTCTTCTTCCATTCACTTTTCTAAATGACAAAAAAATGGACATGAATAATATATTGAGAAAATGATAAACATGCAGAAAGTGAGTAAACAGCAAAACAAATGCAAGCACTCTGTGGACTGAAAAGTCTCATATATGCACATTTTATATATATATATTTTATGCCTATTTATATATATTTTATATATTATTTTTTATAAAGTAATTTAAGAGCCAAGAACCAAATTTAGAACCAAAAATTATAATTCAGTTTGACAGTGACAAGCAGTGTCAACATGGAAACAGAAAATTCAGCGTGATGTGGCACAATAACAGATTATCAGATTCAGAACATATTTCATGTTTAATACACAGCTGTGCAAAGTAGGATTTGGACCAATTAAATAAAATTTTTGACACCATGAAATTCAGCTGTTTCAGAATTATATATTTTGTTGGCTGAAAATTGTACATTTTGTTGTTTGAAATTGTGTACTTTATTGGACTGTTAATTGGCTAGTTGCAAATAGTGGCCTTGTTGAATTTCCGGTCTAGCCAGTGTGTGCAAAGACACTTCTGGTTTTGGAAGTGGCTTCTGCTTGTTCTTAAAGGCTGAATAATTCCAAATTAACTCCACTATTTTGACAGGAAAATACAACAAAGAATGTAATTTACATGTAGCGCATCAATTCTATGTGGTAAGACTGTCCTGCTCTCTCTCTTTGCATGTGTGCGAGAAACACTGAGCGCTCTCAGCTTAGCGATGGCGAGTCAGGCGTCTTCATACTAGAGTTTACAGTGCGTCAAATATGCTGCTCATCCATTGCGATGCAATAAGACAGTACACTTTCAAGGCGGAGAGTGAAACTCTCAAGCAAGCAGTTTTCAAAATGAGTGAAGGCAAGTGAAATATCTGTGTTAAACTTACAGTTAGCCTCTAACTCAAACACACTGGCGAGAGAAATCTATTTATCAGCCAGTGGCCAACGATATACATTATTTGGTCACATAGCATGTGAGTGATTTACTCGCATTGTAGAGGGTTGTATTAGCAAATACAGTTACTAAAAATTAAAGGGGTCATATGATGCAATTTCAAGTTTTCCTTTCTCTTTAGAGTGTTACAAGCTCTTGGTGCATAAAGAAGATCTGTAAAGTTGCAAAGACTAAAGTCTCAAATCTAAAGAGATATTCTTTCCTCTTTCCATCTCTCCAGTGCTTCCTTCCCGGACTGCTCTCTTCTTTGCTGCTCCTCTTGTTCCTGGAACACATTAGCATTAATTGATATATTACTTAAACTGGTATTCATACAGAGTCTAAGGCAGGGTTGTCAAACTCAATTCCTGGAGGGCAGGAGCCCTGCAGAGTTTTGTTCCAACCCTGCTCCAACACACATACCATGTAGTTTTCAAATAAGCAAGAAAGAAGAATGTCATATACACCTAGGATGGCTTGAGGGTGAGTAAATCATGGGGCGATTTTCATTTTAGGGTGAACTATCCCTTTAAGAGGTTCAGACAGAGCTGTGTGGGAAGCTGGATATTGATTTAAACACAAACTCACCTGCTGATGTCTCAAACTTTCTGTTTCTTTCTCCACCTGTAGCTGCATCTGTGTCAATTTCAGTTTCTCCTTCAGCTCTTCTATCCTATCTTCCATCTCTTCTGCCTTCCTCTTCTTTTGTTTCTCTGAGACATAAACATGCACAAGCAGTGATATCGAGGTGCTAAACAATTATTTTCAACCACGTCATGGATATGCATCAAGTGAGTTGCTAGCTCACCTATATCTGATATTTTATAAAACTTAAAAAATAAACAAAGGGCACAATTTTTTTCACCAACCTGCATCTGTGACTTCAGGATGTCGTCGTTGAACATGTGCTTGTAAGTAAGAGTAGTTGACAAATGATTTTTCACAGAACTGGCACTGTCACAAATAAAAAAGGCATCAAAAGATTAGAAATGGTTTTATGATCATTAAAGGTCACCAACCAACCAGTACTTTATTCAGTGCCAATTTTATAATATATTTATACTTGATCATATAAACTTAATGTTTCTTAAATTGCGTATAACATATCACATTATATTACCTAATTAATAATACTCATATTACACATTTACCTTTCTCTATCTTTTCAGTGAACCTTGGTTAGCAAAATACCAGCTTAGCCTACTGGCTTAGTACAGTGTTTCCCAACCTTTTTTTAGTCGCGACACCCTTTGGAAATTTTAACAAACTTGTGGCACCCTACAAAATTAATTTTGTCACAATATTTGAATTTCTAACTTCGATGTGATAATTTGAAAAGTATAGATATTCGGTACAACAGGGAAGAACTGCAGAATATAATGTCATACAGATATTTTTAATATTATTAAAAAATTTTGTCCATCAATGGTGGCAATCAGTAGGCTAATTTCTGATGAAGAGACCAATTTATATGACAGATTTTAATGTAGGCTTTTATACATATGTAAACATTATTTAATTACCATTATAACTAGCTATCTCACAATTTTTTATTTTATTTTACAGTGGGGTACTTTTGGTGCAGTAGCACGAGATAGCTTGATTTCAAACTTTGAATTGAATAAAAAATGACAAGTAAGCAGTCAGTAATAAAATAAGAACAAATAAAGAAATTAATAATGATAGCACAAATAAAAAAAAATCAAGATAGGTCTACAAATGAAATAAATAGCTTTTTAGTTTTTCAGGTAGGTCTAACACACAGTAGGACTATTAAGAGATTTTTTTTGTTTTTGTTTTACCAATTATCCAAATAATGTTTAGTCCTAGAAAGCTATTATTATCAGAACACGCGAGCATAACATAGCGGTTAGCAGATCAATGAATGAGAGGGCAGCGTTACCAGAGTTGCCCATATACCACACCATGTTACAACACAGTAGGGCTATTGCAGACAGAAACAATACTGTACTACATCGATGTTTCCTGTCGGCTCAATTTTTGAGTGGACTTTGCTGTTCCGATGAGCATGAACGATATGAGTGGAGCTGAGCGGAGCGCACACACGCATAGAGCGGGATAATACGCAGAGCGTCACACCACGTGACAGTGATACCTGAGTGGTGAACTAATTTTCGGCAGCCGAAATTTCGGTGCATCTCTAATTATTGGCGACATCAGAAAATGAATATTATATAATATATGCTTTTTTGAACATTTTAGCAATTTAAAAATATTAAAAAATTATTTTTTACACGGCACCCCTGCTCTCGACAGACGGCACCCCGGTTGGGAAACACTGGCTTAGTAGAACAAGATATCATGCTATTATTTCTAATTGGGTGATTCGATGGAGGGGATAGGATTCTGTGTGAAGGATAGAAACTGGCAGCCCGCTCTAAAAAAAAAAATATTTATTAGACTACAGGCTCAAATGCTACAATTCAAAGGTTTGGGGTCAGTAAGATTGATTGATTGATTGATTGATTGATTTTTAGTTTTTAGTTGTTTTTTGTTTTTTTTAAATAAATGTATAATTTTATTAAGCACAGACACATCAAATTGATGAAAAGTGACAACTCTTTCAAATCAATGCTGTCCAATGTGTCAGTTTCCAATATTATTGTTTTCAACATTGATAATATTACGTGACACTGAAGACTGGAGTAATGGCTGTTGAAAATTTAGCTTTGCCATCACAAGGAATAAATTCTGAATACATTTTAAAATACATTAAAAAGTAGAAAACAGTTCAATTGTAATACTTTTCACAATATGACTGTTTTACTGTAGTTTTGATCAAATAAATGCAGCCTTGGTGAGCATAAGAGACTTTAAAAACACTAAAAAAACATACAGACCCCAGACGTTTGAACAGTAGTGTATGACTGTGAGTGTAAAAGAGTTTCAAAAGTTCTATATGAGTACAACTTTTGTAAGAAAACCACCTTGTGATAATTATTAGCACTGGTCTGCAGGAGGAGCTGTTGAGTGTCGATCAATTTCTTTCTCCGTCGATTCTCCTGTTTGGCTTCCTGCAAATTTTTTTCAAGTTCAGTTCGTTGTTCTTCTCCTCGCTGGACTAGAGAGAGTGCCGCCTGCAGACGCTCCTCCAGTCCTGACAGCTGAGAGCTCAGCATGTCCTGGCAGTGCAGCAGGTACTCAGTACTCAGCTGAGACATACGAAGCAGTTTGATCAAAGAAGGGTCAGCAGGTCCTCGACAGTTTGGACACCGCTCTCCCTCCACGGCACAGAACGTTACAGTCGTAATGAAATTCTGAAGCACATCGACATCCATGTCTCGCTCAACACGTTCCACGTCAAGAGCGGAGAGACGCCGCCAGTCTATGGGCTCAGTTCGTGAGCGGAAGCGGAAGGGCTGAAGCAGGTGTGCTGGATCCCAGGGCGGTGTGGTGGACAGAGCACTGTAGGGATCACCAGGGGAGAACTGGCCCAACATGGTGAAAGGTTTGAGACAGAGAGGTGAATGGATGTGGTGATTCCTAAACAGAGGCTGAATGGGGAGAGAAAACACAATATATTAGATTAGCTATGACAACCAAAGCAGCATATCTGAATGATTTTTGTAGGATCATGTAAAACTGAATAATTGAGTAATTACTGCTGAAAATTCAGCTTTGCCATCCAGGAAAAAATACATTTAAACTAGAAAAAAAAAGTATTTTAATTTATAAAAATATTTCACAATATTACTGTTTATACTGTATTTTTATTAAATAAATGCAGTTTTGGTGAGCATTAGACACTTACCAATAACAACCAACAATGTATAGAAATGTATAAATTTTTAAAGCTAAAAGCAGACAGATTTATTTAATATATTATTATTACTCAAAAAAGGGAAAGAAAATGTTCTATTTTTTCACATTTTAATGGAATTGATAAGTGAAAGAAATATATTTCTGTAGATTAGATGGCAGACAACATATTGTGAAAGTCAAAGAGTCCATCTCTATGACAACAACTAAAAGCCATTGTCAGCAGCCACTCTTGCACTATTGCTGTTAGGACTGTAGTTTCAATAAAAAGCCTTCCAAATTGTCAACATGTGTGTTACAGAAAAAAAGCTGCATTCCTTATCTTATGCTCTGTGCAGTAGATATGACTATAATATACCTTAGCATTGTCAGAGTAAGTATATCTGCCATAAAAAAAAAACTAACACTAGCTTTCTGTTTTTTCTATTCTGTCTACTTGTTTTTCTGTGTGTGTGTGTGTGTGTGT